AATGCCAGTTGTGAAAAACCTTTTACACACATATCTATACTAGAAAGGTAAACTCTTCAGTGGGGCCAGAAATTGCTGGAAGACAGCTAATGAAACTTAGTAAACCATGATTTTTTAAAAATGGAAACTATAAGGTTTTTCTTTAACAAAAGACTCTCCAGTATCTACCTCGTGTATCTCAAGGTTGGTGTGACAAGTGACCTTTAGGCAGGGCTGGCTGGACACCCAATCTGCGAGCTTCAGGAGGTGCAGGGACAGGTCCCTCGCTCCTTCCCTGCACCCCTGAAGCTCGCAGATTGGGTGTCCAGCCAGCCCTGCCTAAAGGTCCCTTGTCACACCAACCTTGAGATACACGAGGTAGATACTGGAGAGTCTTTTGTTAAAGAAAAACCTTATAGTTTCCATTTTTAAAAAATCATGGTTTACTAAGTTTCATTAGCTGTCTTCTAGCAATTTCTGGCCCACTGAAGAGTTACCTTTCTAGTATAGATATGTGTGTAAAGGTTTTTCACAACTGGCATTATGCTAAGTGAAATAAGCCAGACCCAGAAGACAGATGCTACATGGATCTTACTCACATGTGGAATTTACAGTAGTCAAACTCAGAGAAGCAGAGGGTAGGAGGGTGGTTGCCAGGGGCAGGGACAGTCAGAGGTCAAAGTTGAAGTGACACAGGATAAGTCCTGGGTCTACCGTGCAGCATAGTGCCTGCAGCTGCTAAGCCTGTAGTGTAAACTTACAATTTCTGAGAGCCTAGAGCTTATGTTCCGTGTTCTCAGAAAACAAAAGCAATAATAAGGGGTGAGAGAAACTTTGGGAGGTGATGGACATATTCATGGCCTTGTGGTGGTGATGGTTTCATGTCGCCCCAAACTCATGGAAGTGCAGGTATACATGTCGCCCCAAACTCATGGAAGTGCAGGCATTAAGTATGTGCACCTTCTAATACACCGGCCACACCTCAATAGAGCGGGTGAAAATGCCTGAAACAGCTGGCAAGATATTTCCTACTCTGTCGTGATTTCTCTGTAGAGGAGAGGGAACAAGGATTTGGTCTCAGCTCCTCTAACTTTTTTCTTAGAAGGGGGAGGACAGCGTCTCCATGACTCTCGCATAGGGACACATGCCTGTCCCAACACTGATGGCACGTTCTGGAGGGTGAGGCTATGGGATATTGTTTTACATAGACTCTGCCTTCCTCCTTTGTTCTAGTTTGGTTTTCTTTTCATCTCTGGGTTGACCGGGTTCTGTTCATATCACTTGGGTATGCTATTTTCAGGCACTGAAATAGACCCTGAGAAGAGGGTCCCAGCTGAGTCTGTTATTCCCCGTCTCCCAGCACATGTGTCCCTGGCACTGAGCGGGGACTTAGCTCCCGAGTTGGAGCTTGTGATAGAGTGTGTGGCCCTGCCTGGAAGATGGAGGACCTCTGGGTCTCCCATGTCACTCGGGTCACACTTGCTCACCCAAGTCGGGTGAACTTGTGCAGCCTTCCCCATCCGGTACAGGAACAAGAACCCAGATGACAGAGTCTCATGCCCCTTCCCAGTCTCCCTCTACTGCCCACTTATGTGGCCAAGTCACCTTTTCTTCCTCTGCCCTGCCCCTTGTATACCTTAGGACCCCTTTGGCATGGAATTCGACTCTCGGGGAGCTCAGCGTCCCAAAAAGCTGCCTCCTGAGAGGCTAAAAGTGCCCTAGTAAGGAGGTGGGAGGGGGCTGGACCTGAACAGGGCAGGAAGCTGATGGATGCATTTCTTTCCCTTTTCAGTGTGCAAGGAGCCCCCCTACAAAGTGGAGGAGTCGGGGTATGCTGGCTTCATCATGCCCATCGAGGTGCACTTCAAAAACAAGGTAGGCTCCTTGAGCAGGAGTGAGCAGGACATGCATCCCAGGGAGGCCCTGGGCCCAGAGTGCCACAGCTTCCATCTCGACCCTCACGGCCGGCAGGGGCTGGGACATGGGAAGGCTCATGGTGGCAGGTGTGCATCCCCCTGGGTCCTGCTTCTTTAGGGGAGTGACTGGGCCTCATTCCAATGGGGACAGGCCCCTAGATGGTCCTAGAGGGTTAGCCACTAGGCCTATGAGTGATTGAGATCTGGAACTCACCTAGTGTCTGATAGCAGGTGACGGGCTAGATAAAGTTAAGATGCGTCTGATTCTCAGCTGGAGTCTTTGGTGAGCTTCAGGGGAAAGAGTTCTTGGTAACATGGAATGTTGAATGGGTCACCCAAGTTACATATATATGCGTAGAAAAAAGGAATTGCATTGGAAATGTTAGCAGTGGTAATCTGGGTGGTAGGATTGCAGATTTTATTTTCTATCATCTGTAGTTTCTAACCTTGTTTTTGCCAAATAATTAAAACAACTCAGGGGTCTGCCTCTGCTCCTCCCCCCAGGCGTCACCAAGGGGCCAACCATGGCATTTTCTGGCTTGAGGCGGCTTAGCCATGGCTGGCTGCTTTCCCACGAGTACAGCTAGACTGGTGTGGGACAGTGCTGCCATCTTTGGGGAGGGAGGTCTTCTGGGAAGACCTGAGGATGCCATCCTGTTTGCTCAAGTCCATGGTTTGCACCCAGCATGCCGAGATGTGGCAGGATACTTTTCTGCAAACCCCCCGGCATTAAGGGCCCCTAGGCATGGCACTGGGGTATGTTGCCTGCCAGGAGCTGGGTGACCTTTCAGCAGATGCAACTCAGCCAGATTTCAAGTGTGAGGCCTCCTAGGGTCCGGCTCACAGAAGCAGGGGTCATTCTGGGGCCTTCTTGGAACTGAAGCCCCATTGGTAAAAGAGCCACGTCTGGCTGCAGGTGGACCTGCTTGAGGGCTGAGTCCTCCTGACCTGGGACCCAGGGGCAGTCCCATGGCAGGTGTGCACTGGGCTCTCCGAGCTCCCTTGGGCACGGAAGGGGGATGTTAATAGCAGCCGCCCTTGGGTGGTTGAGGAGACTGCTTCAGCCTGTCTGAGGAAAGCACTCTGCAGCCTAGGCACTGGTGTCCTGTAGGGGGTGGGTGGTGGTGCCAGAGTCCATGTGGCCAGTTGAAACTCCTCTCTGGGGTGATTTAGATTAAGTTGCTTTGAGGTTCAGAAGCAGTTGGGGTCCCATGGGCTAGCCAGGCTTTGTTTTTTTTGTTTTGTTTTGTTTTAAGAGACAGGGTCTCACTCTGGCCCAGGCTAGGGTGCAGTGGCACGATCACAGCTCACCACAGCCTTGAACTTCTGGGTTCAGGTGACCTTCCCATTGGAGTCTCTCCTGAGTAGCTGGGACTAAAGGTGTGAGCCCCTGCGCCTAAGCTCGGTGGGGCTTTTTGTATTCCCTGACACCTGTCTGGTGCCTGACGTGGCCTGTAGCCACATGTACACTGCGGTACCTGCCCCACTTCCCAGTGTTCTTCAGGGATCTGCCGGGGGCACTTGGGCTACATGTGGGACTTGGAGGCAGGGCCCGGTCAGTGCTGTGTGTTTGGCGCCTGCTTCTCATCCTTGCCTATGGAGGGGATCCTCACATGGGCCACAGGCCAGCAGCCCCCTGGTGTTGAAGAATCCTGAGTCAATGCCACTCTGCCCACTGCAGCGAGGGCCCTAAGAGGGGCTGCTGCTTCGGTCACCCACCTGCTGTGTCCTACAACGTTCACCTGAGCCTGAAGTGCAGACTTCAGGGTTGTGTCTGCTCCGAGTTCCCCGAGGTTCCACCCTCTACATCCTGTTGCTGGTAGGGAAGGGGTGTGGGCAGCCCTTTGGCCACAGGCTGGTCACTGCCGGGCTTAGCATCCTCCCTCGTGCTGGGACATCAGGAGGGCAGAGAACTCCTTCCCAGGGTGTCCTGGATCCCACCTGCTCTTTTGGGGTCTTTGGGGGTCTCTGCTCGGGGTGTTCTTGTGTGGTCACCCAGGCCCCACGTTCTTTGAGAATGCCTGTTGCCTTGGGCCCCAAGCTGCTGCCCAAGTGTCACCTTTTGTTTATGTCCAGTTTATCAAGGTATAATTTACATATAGTGAGATTCTTCCATTTTAGGTGTAGCAGATTTTTTGAATCTCAGCATGTGTTTTCATTTGAACCCTGTTGGAGGACGGCCAGCTTTTCTGTTAGAAAAAAAAACAAAAACAAAAGCCATGTTCCTCGATGTTGATTTGTCTGAACAATTCCTGCAGGGGCCGCGTGGTTGGGATTGGAGCTCTGCCGTGAGCCTCTTCTGAGAGCCAGTGTTCTCTCTCAGGACAGAGGCTGGCTGCCTCCTTGCGCTCTGGGCCTGTTCCCCAGGAGTCCTTTATTCCCTGGTGGTTGTGCCCACAGCTTTAGAGCGGGATGCATTGAGATCACCCGGGAGGTGAGGCCCCCACAGGAGGGTTAGGGATACGGGTCTTGATCGCAGCTATGGCGGCTTGTGTGCGGCATGCTGGACACTGTGCTAAGCCTGCATGTATTTAGTCTCCAAACAAGCCCTGGGGGAGGCAGCCGCCTCAGTCTGCAGTTGGAGGCCCCCATGGGTCCTGAGTCACTGGGTCAAGGCCACACAGAAGTTGGTGGAGCAGGAGTTGGAACCAGCTCTGCGTAAGCACATACTCGTTGACCTAGAGTGACGGTTCTTAATGAATCCTGACTTTTACTTACACCTGGGTGCCAGGGACAGTATTATTTCCTGTATTGTGTTCTGCAAAGATTGTCTCTATGTAAGTCCCTTCTTTTTCTTTTTTTCTTTTTGAGTCAGGGTCTCGCTCTGTCACCCAGGCTGGAGTGCAGTGGCACGATCATGACTCACTGCAGCCTCAACCTGTGGGTTCAGGCGATCCTCCCTCCTCAGCCTCCCAAATAGCTACCACGCCCGGCTAATTTTTAAATTGTTTTGTAGAGATGAGGTCTTGCTGTGTTGCCTAGGCTGGTCTTGAACTCCTCGGTCAAAGTGAGCCTCCTGGCTTGCCTCTCAAAGTGCTAGAATTGTAAGTGTGAACCACCACGCCTGGTCCTTACTTTAGAAGTTTTGTAAAGAGGCTGGGCTCGGTGGCTCAGCCTGTAATCCCAGCACTTTGGGAGGCTGAGACAAGGGGCTTGCCTGAGTCCGCAGGTTCGAGACTAGCCCGGGCAACTTGACAAGACCTCATCTCTACAATAAATCAAAAAATTAACCAGGTGTGGTGGTACGTGCCTGTAGTTCCGGTACTTGGAAGGATTGCCGGAGCCCAGCAGGTCAACACTGGGGTGGCCTTGAGTGTGCCACTGCCTTCCAGTCTGGGCGATGGGAGTGAAACTCTGACTCAAAAAAAAAAAAAAAAAAAAAAAGTTGTGTAAAGATTAGACAAGTGTGAAAAATGAGTATGGGCTAATTGCAAAGGCAGCTGACACAGGTTTGGAATATGATTTGGGACAGTGAATGGATACACTGACTGCTTTTCCATCCTGATGTAGGCAAGGCTTGTGTTCAGTCATTAGTCTCGATTTATTCACTGGTGGTAAGGCTGGGTGAATTTCAGGGTAGTAGACAAAGAAGTTGGTGATAGGATGGGTTGGGAGCAGCGGCTGTGTGTCCTGGCCAGGTAGGGAGAGAGCAGTGGTAGGGAGAGAGCACAGGTTGGAGGTGGACATGCTGGGGTTCAAATCCTGGTAACTGGCTGTCACTGTGGGCTGGTGACTCCTCTGGGCCTCAGTTTCTCTATGTTTCAGTGGGGGCTTCTGATTAGAACGACTTCTCTGGCTATTAGGAAGATTGTGGGAGAGAGACAGTAGGTATAGCACTTGGCCGTGACCCAGCGTATGCTGGGCACTTTACCAGTGTTCGTTGTTGCTGTTGAGGTGGTTTTGCTCCTTACCAGTTAATCTGGGCAAGAATGTTCAGTGGAGAAAGGAGCCTCAGAGACCTGAGAGGGCCCAGGGGCGAGGCTCCAGCCATGGAAAACACGTTTGGCTTTTCCAGTGAGTGGGCTGAATCCATAACCAGGGCAGAAGCACATTTTCTTGTAGAGGCATGAGGGTTTTTTAAGCAAGTGCACTTGACCTTGAGTACAGCATTGTCTGTAAAGTGAGGGAGCTGGTTTTACGTGGAGTTAGGCACTAGAACTTAACAGAAGCTGCATTTTGTTTGACCTGTTGTTGGCAGGATGCTCATTTTACAGATAAGTCACTCCTTTCTCCCAAGGGAAAAAAAAACAAGAGGACTTTGTCTGATTACAAAAATAGTATATACGTGCTATAAAGAAATTTTTCTGAAACAAGAAGACAGTCGCCTTATTTGACTTCCACTGTGGACGTGTATGTTGGACCACTCAGGGTCTGGCTGTTCTCTGTGTGTGTGCCGGTGACTGTAAAGCCGAGATTGGGGTTGACATATAAACTCCAGTTTGTAGGTGAGTTAAAAATGTGGAGTCTGAGTACCGAGGATCACCTGTACCACATTCTGTTTGTCTGCTTGTCTGTCGATAGACGTTTGGCTGTCTCTGCCTGTTGGCTGTTGTGGGTAGTGCTGCTGTGAACATTCGTTTACATGTGCTCATTGAGCACCAGTTTGCCGTTCCTTTGGGTGTGTGTGCTGGGACACACAGTGATTTTTTGTGTAAGTTTTTGAGGAGTTGCCACACTGTTTTCACAGTGGCTGCACCATTTTGTATTTCCACTAGCAATGTGTGAAGGCTCCTTTTCTTCACAATTCTCAGCTTAAAGCATTATAGCCATCCTGCCAAGTGGGAAATGCTGTGGTTGGGGCTTTTATTTGCGTCTCCTTCATGGTCGGTGTTGTTCACCATCTTGTCATGTGCTTGCTGGCTGCTTGTGTATCTTCTTTGGAGAAATGTCTCATACATCCATTGCCTGCTTTTGAATCGGGCTGGTTGTTGTTTTGCTGTTGTGTTATAGACGTTCTTT